CTGCAAAGTAGTGGGACAATGATCAGAAATTAATAAGCTGTGATAGTTTGTTTTACTAATCTTTGGAATTGACAGGGCCTCAGTAATAAAGTAATCAATTCGAGTATATGACTGGTGTACGTGAGAATAAAATGAATATTCCTTTTTGTCAGGGTGCTGTATTCTCCAAATGTCTACCATGTTTCTAGATTTGATCAGATTATTTAATCACAAAGTGATTGGAAATGAATTAATATGACCAGAAATCGAAATAAATCTCCCATTGGGATCTATAGACTTGGATTTCAATATAAAATGAATATTATTACGAAACAAAATTGCTACCCCCCTTGCACGAGTTGTAAAGGGTGCGTGATAGACCTGTGAGACCCAGCCGGGCTTCAGTTTATATTCTGTATCTTTAACAGTATGAGTCTCTTGCAGAAACAAAATATCTGCTTTCAAAGAATTTAAATAAGAAAATACCTTCCCACATTTTATATTATTCCCCAGGCCCCTCACATTCCAGGAGGCTAAAGTAATTGTATCATTTAGAACTGAAGACATAGTTTCAAAATGATCGAAAACAATTCATACGTAAGTTATACACTTTAAAACAAAATCGTGATTGAATAGCCAAACAGACCGTCTCTCCCCATACTCCATCACACCAACACACACCCACACACAACACACATACCCACCCCCCACCACCCACCCACCCACAAGAAAAAAAGACCCCATAGTCCATAAGGCGCATGGCAATGACCCGTCGCCGAAGGTCTCTCTCGAAATAATTAATAGAAACAAAACACGGTGTGACCCACAGCTTCTCCATGGTGGAATAAAAAAAAAAGAAAGATTAAATCCCACCGTCCATACACGAGTTCAAGTCATTTGAGGGATAGTCGGCAAATACTATTCCAATAATAGCCTCAACAGTCACAGTTCACAGGCCTACATCCCCATACAGTAGGCCTACTTATTTAACTCTTGCTCTATGAAAGACATAGCGCTATCAGGTGAGTTATTGACTTTTACCTGATCGTTGTGCTGGACATAAAGTTTAGCTGGAAAACGTAAGGTATATTTAACTTCCCGCTCTCTGAGCGTCTGGGTTACCTCACGAAAGCCTCTTCTCTGTGCCATCACCTCCGCGGTGTAATCCGGATGTATGTAGACTCGGTTGCACTTGTAGCTCACTTGTTGTTGCCAACTCAGCCGTAGGATTAATTCCTTCTCCTGATAAAAGTGAATCCTGGCGATAATGCCCCGTGGTCTGTTGCCATCCGTGGGTTTTGGCACAGGAATGCGATGTGCACGCTCCACTGTCACCGGCTTTGTAAAGTTGCTGGCCCCAAACAACTTCTGCAGTAATCCAGCGACGAACTCTGTGGGTCGGCCTTTTTCCTCACCCTCTGGTATTCCCAATATCTTGATGTTATTGCGTCGCATACGTCCCTCCAAGTCATCAATGTTTGTTAAAAGTCTGTCGTTTGTTTTTCTCGTAGCTGTCAAACACAGCTCTAGCGCCTGGATACGCCGTTCATGGTCAGAACCCTGTTCCTCTGCAACGACCAGCCTTTCAGTCAGCGCCAGCTGTGTGTTCATCAGAGTTTCAAGCTTGTTATCTAGGAGGTCGAATCGCTTATTCATTGATTTGAGAATCTTTTCAGATAACTTATCCCACACAGGCGGTGAGTCTGGCTCCGCGTCAGGCCCATGCTTCACAGCTGATTCAAATTGTTTGGTGATCTTTGTTCCAGGCATTTTGCTGCTTACAAAGTTAACTTTCCTTCACCAAACACCAATCAAAATGATCAAGGTTTAAAGCTCCGCTATTTTTCTTGGCCAATCGTAAATTAGACGACAAGATTAATGACAAAACGATATTATTCCACCCGGAGCACTGAGACAACTGTCTAGCCCTTGCTAGCTCCGCCCCATCCACTAGTAGGATCTCCACCCACTCGGGATCTTTCTGTGTGGAGTTTGCATGTTCTCCCCGTGCAGCGTGGGTTCTCTACGGGTTCTCCAGCTTCCTCCCACAGTCCAAAAACATGTTGAGGTTAATTGGTGATTCTAAATTGTCCGTAGGTGTGAATGTGAGTGTGCTTGGTTGTCTGTCTCTAAGTGTGGCCCTGTGATGGACTGGCGACCTGTCCAGGGTGTCCCCTGCCTTCACCCTACGTCAGCTGGGAGAGACTCCAGCCCCCCTGTGACCCTCGTGATGATTAAGCGGTGTATAGAAAATGGATGGATGGATGGATGGATGGAATTCAAATGTACAATATCAACAATAAAAAGATGAGTGAGCAGCCAAACGGGAGACATCTATATTGAATCAAATAAACACAGAGTAGTCTGGGTCAAGTGTCATCTTTTATTCAGCCTTTCATTTGCATATTTCTGATACTTTTTATTAGGGATGCATGATATGTAAAATTTTAATTGATACCGATAACAGATAATTAACTGCTTCTCATGGCCGATGCCGATACCAATAACCGTTAAGTTCATATTTTTATATTTTATATAATCTTAAAATAATCTACAGTTTGTGCATCCAGGAGAATAAAAACATTTAAGATGCAGTGATGAAAAAAATAATACTTTAGAAGCTCTGGCCAGACTATAACAGCAAACAACAGTACAGGCTCTTCAAATGTTCATTTATTTTTGTGAAAATATCACAAACAGCTGAAAAAAATAACACTGCATTTTCTCAAACAAAATAAATCAAAACAAAATGTCCTGTGATTGTTCACACAGGCTGTTACACCTTTCAAAACTAAAACCTTTTGCCTGTGGTCAGTTGTTGTAAATGAAAACATATTCAGTGTATCAAATGTACTGATATATCAAATCACAACTAAAGCAAAAAGAGCATCCCTCAAAAAAAAGGGGTTCACAGAACTATGACTGGTTTGTCTGCAAATAACAAAGTTTATCTTCTAGCATTTTATGCATAACAAAGAAATACAATCTTTAGTGCATGAGGATGAGGTAGGTATAGTTTTTAAGTCAAATATTTATTCAAATGAAATCAATTAAATGCATTGACATATGTCAACCTCAACTCCAAAAACACACAAAAATAGAAAATAAAGTGCATCCTCAACCATAATAAAGTGCATCTCACAACAAAAGGTGTTTATAGAATTATTACTGCTTTAACTGCATCGGGCACAGTAGAGATTTCTCTGAAATGTTAGTTTAGAAATTAAAATAAAAATGAAAAAAACCCTTACATTTTCAAATTTCAACTTCTTCTGTCACTTTGTCCAGTGTCCCTTTGTCTTTTCTATTTATGTGAGGGCATCATTGGGAGATTTTTTTTGATAAAGAGTAGCATCTCTGCCTTCTCACACCCAATTCTGTTTCTTTTTCCATCAACAGCATTTGCAGCAGCAGAACACAAACGTTCACTGTCTATACTTGTGCAAGGGGCTGACAGGTATTTCTGTGCAAGTGAGGCAAGGTTCGGGAACCAGGATTTATTGCTTTTCCAGTATTCCATGGGGTTCTTGGGTCTGAGAATCGGGGGCTTTGACAGATATTCTTTTATCTCAAGAAGATAAAGAACACAAACATTAAATGTAAGTAGTAAAATAATTAATATTAATATGTTTAGTATAGGGCTGCAGGGTGGCGCAGTTGGTAGCACTGTTGCCTCGCAGCAAGAAGGTTGCCGGTTCGCATCCCGGTGGGGGCACCGGAATCTTTCTGCGTGGAGTTTGCATGTTCTCCCCGTGCAGCGTGGGTTCTCTCCGGGTTCTCCGGCTTCCTCTCACACAGTCCACAAACATGTTGAGGTTAATTGGTGATTCTTAATAGTCCGTAGGTGTGAATGTGAGTGTGCTTGGTTGTCTGTCTCTAAGTGTGGCCCTGCGATGGACTGGCGACCTGTCCAGGGTGTCCCCTGCCTTCACCCTAAGTCAGCTGGGATAGACTCCAGCCCCCCACGACCCTAGTGAGGATTAAGCGGTGTATAGATAATGGATGGATGGATGTTTAGTATATTTCACAAGACACATTCAAAGGTTTATTTAAACAATAAATTAATATGCTATAAGATTTGTTGTGTTAAAACTTGTTGTGTACTTCCCTCCTCTCAAAATCCTTGCTGAACACGTATTACAAACAGGGATGGTCTTGTCATCCAATGCCACCGAGAAGAACGTTCCTACATTCATACTAGCTCCTGTATCCACTCAGGTCAGTCAGGTATGCATGCTTCATGCGCGGCAGATGACGTCGGGAGTGCAACACAACCTGTTTAAAGGTGCAACACTCCAACAAGCGATTTTAAAAAACCTATTACATTATCGGTTCAATTTATCGGATTAAATCAATTTTTCGGACTGATTCAAAAATGATGTAATTTCGCCACATATCGGCCGATCATTTTTTCGGGCCGATAATTATCATGCATCCCTACTTTTTATATAACTTTATACAGCTGCCAAAGGTTCATTGCCAAACTGAAAAGTAAAGAGAGTTCACTGGTATAATGTATATAAAAGGCTTTGAATGCAGACTTTTTTTTTTTTTTTTTTAATTGAAGCTAAATAAATTAATAAAAAAGGAAGGTTTAGAATAAATGAAAACATTTTTTTTTATTGTTTTTATTGGTACTATGTGCCTTTTCATCATCAATTACAATGCAACATCTTACTGTGTTCTGTTTAGGTGAAGGTCTGATGCCAAAGACGCTACAGCAGACACATCCCGCCAGTAATCCGATATTTTCCACCCTGGTTCATCTGGACATCTCTTAGGAGCTTGTACAGTTTCTCAGCAGCCCACCTCTTTCACGGATGGATTTGTGGAAGTCAGCCCCTGCCAGTTCCTCTACCTATACTAAGTGTTGGAAGCTTGTGAGTGGCTGCTGGTAAGGGATGCTCAACAGCCCCAAGATGCCAGGATGCCTATCACTCAGGACAACGCCTTCAGCATCCTCTCACTGCTGGAGGACTGGCATGGAGCTCAGATCAAAGGATCATTGCAGGATGACAACCTGAATAAAGACGGTTTTACTTATAAGGTACTTAACTCACTTCATTACCTTCCAACCACATCCTCCAAACTTGTCTAATTTTACATTCTTCAGATTCTTTTCACATTACGACATTATATTTTTCTTGTTAGTATGACATATGTTGCCATTATTACTTGATAAATGAAAATTATTTTATTTATGTAATGAAACCTGTGTTTTTGGAACAACCTGTAATTTCATCTTGTTGCATCGTTAAATTGAAATGTGTTTTGTACCTCTTTCTCCTCACCACCAATAGGCAGTGTCTCGCCCTCTAAGACATGATTACCTTATCAGTCTGTACTGTTACATTTATATGTATGTAGCAAGCTCATGAATCTGAAACTATTCTTTTTCCACACTGATAGTTGTTAATCTGAAAAAAAACTTAGTTACCTGGTAACCATTCTAAAAGTTACCTGTGGATGGGCATGTCTGTACAATTGTCTGTCTGTGGCAACCGTGTGACAGACGGATGTAGCCTCCTTTAACAACTTGCTGGTTTTAGAAGTGGTATTAACCCTCTGAGCCCCCAAACCCCCAAGTGGGTTTGAAGAGCATGCTGTCTTTAAAAAACTGCCAAAATGACAGCTGTAATCAGAACCAGAGGCAGTGTAAACAAAAAGGATCACCTGAGCCACAGCATACCAACATGTGTTGCACTGTTAACTTTAAATTGGGATATTTCTCATGTAAAAACTTGCCAAAAAATCAGAATGATTTATTGCATTATAGCTTTGTTTTATTGCACTGAAGACATTTTCTAATTCGCCTTACTTCGTACTTCCAGTGATGGTTGTGCAATTTCCATAGATGTGCAGGACTTAATATTGCAGGGGAAAATGTGCCCACTGTGAGTAAACTCTGACAAAAAAACTGACAGGAACAAAAAACACCCAGGAACAGCCTGGAGTTTCGAGACGTAATATGTGAATTTTTACCCAATTAAAGGACCTTTTCATCTACTAATTTGTAAGTCTTTGTCTTCCTCCAGCGTGTGGATCAGGACTCTTACCAGAATGAGGAAGGGGACAGTGTTTGCAGCAGCAGCACTGCTAGCAGTGTTCACATTGAGGACATGTCCCTGTGTCTTGCTGCCATTCAGAAGTTGGTGGAGTACATTAAGTTCAACTTCATGGAGGGTGACACAGCTCCATCAGACAGTCCGTCCTTCTGTAGAGAGGGATTAGACGTTGAAGTTCATGCTGTTTCCCTTAATAAAGATGAAGGAGATACCACAGAGTTTGGCCTCAGCTTTGGGAACATCCCTATTTTTGGGGATCCTGACAGAAGGAAAAAGGGAGGCCCAAGGAGGAGAAGGGACATGGGCCCCATCATGGATGTGGGCTGCATCTGGGTGACAGAGGTGAGGAAGAGGAGCCCAGCAGCTCGCTGCGGGGGGATCAAACTCAGAGATGAACTGCTGTCACTGAACGGGCAGCTTATGGTGGGAGTAGACGTTAGTGGAGCCAGGTAAGATGATTTCAATAACTACCATGTGGAAGGAAACAATGATTGCAATAATGACCTTGTATACTGTAAGCACAATGCAAGAATATTGGGAAAAAATAGCCTGATGCATTAAATGAAATACTTTCTTACTTGCTGGACTTTATATCAAAGCAACAAGCCTGTAAATCCAGCATTGTCTTTTCAATAAAACAGTGTGTGGATATAACCAGAGATATTTAAACTGGAAGTCTTGGCACAGGCTCTTATTTTCTAACTGTCATTTAACATGTCACCTTGTAATAGCTTTTGTCACCATTTTTAAATTACAGTGGTATATTAATACGTAACATGAGGACCACCAGCAAATATTTAGGAAGGCAGAAACAGAAAATGGCTGATACTTCTTCTAAATAAGTTCATCATAATTGTTGCAATTATTTCGTTTCCTTGGTTTGTTACCCTTTTGAGCTCACTTGAGATTGCTGGCCTGTGAAATACTAAACCAGGTCAAACAAACCTCAGGTCTATTTTTGACTGCATCTCTTTCTTTGGAAAATATATATTGGCTGTGACAGGTTTCCCGCAGATCTGTTTCGGATACGGCCAGTAAAGATTTAATTTAATGGTCTAGCTCAAAGAGACATATGACAAGTCTGACAGCCCCTCACACTGAAGCAGGCCGGGTAGTGCAGTGGTTTCATGCAGGTCCATGAATATGGTCTCTGTGAATTCTTGTTAAAATTAGTTTGTTGTAGTCGACTGTACTTGTAAAGGAACAGCAACTGTCATCATCCTAAATAGGATGCTGACAAAAAAACATGTGTCTCCCTGTTGTTTTTATAAACCTACCTTGCACAGCTCTCAAGAATTTTTTTTCTGGGCAGAGTGACAGGTTTTTGAGTGTGGTTCCATTAAATAAATTAAGTTTTTGTTCTCTTCCTCCTTAGTACCCCCAGCTTAACCAGTATAGGGTCTGTGTGACAAGCAGCTCTGTGGACCTGGTCCAAGCTGGATATCCAGTGTGTAGAGGACTGGAGATCATTTAGAGAGCTGCTATAACTCCTCAGTGCTTAAACATGATATCCAGGTCTGTCGGACTTGTGTGGTTTTGTGCTGTTGCCACATTTAAAGCTACAGATAAGCCTAAATTGTTTAAATGTTTTTAAAATACAGTAATGTCACCTTTCCCAGTATGCGTGGTTTGCCCTTCTGTCTTGTGGTTCTTAGAAAGCTTATGGTAACATGTTGTTTGTGTTTTTATTTGTGTTAAGGTAGGTCAGTTTGAGAGTCACAGAGTGATGAATACATTGCTTACCACATTGAAGGTTGCATCAACTTCAACCCCAACCCTCATATTCCTGTGAATTAAAGGATAATTAAGGTATATTTCAGAATGGCTTATTTCCCAGTAATGTGGCTGCTGTGGCTCTATGGTGCATGCATTCTCCACCTCCCTTAAAATGCTGGCCTGGCTGTTGCAGGGTAAATAGGTCAGTTGGCAAGTGATCATGAATGGTGATCCCCGGCAGCTAGATTCTGGCTTTCATTTTAGTCAGACTGAAAACTAAAATATACTCAAGATGATTTATGTAAAAAGTTCATGATTTTAAAAGATTCAGAGAGCTTGTGCTTTTTTCATATCACAAGGGCCATGAGACTAATGATGCGTAGTCTACATCTGAACTATTATGAACTACTGTTTTCAGTGAAGAAAATAAAGCCATTCGCTCATGTACAGGCACAACTTGTTAAAGATGAGTCCAAAAGTACAAATAGACTTTTTTCTTATCTTAAAACGCTAAATTAAACATTAAATCACAATATTCTTATTCATTAACTTTCCCATTTCACTTTCTCTGATGAATGTGGTTTAAATCTTTTCACAGTTACCTGGCTGACCAGTGCTGGAATGGAGGCTGTATTTACCTAATCCTGCTGCGTCGAGTCAAACGAAAAGCTCCTCTCCCTCCCTGTGACATCAGTGAAAGTGTCAGTACTGCTGTCAGCAGTGACAGTTGTGAAGACCAGCAACAGGGCACAGCAGCCTCTGAGTCCTCCAACAACTTGGCAAACTGTAAACGCACACGCAAGTTTGGTGTCATATCACGTTCATCCTTTAACCGAGACAACAGGGACAGTACTGACTCAGAAGTTCGGAGCTCCTGCAATGGCTACAGCTGCTCTCCTCCGACTGATGCAGAAGTCAGCTCTCCGGGAGATGACTCAGGTCGCATCCTCTCCACACACACACCTGCAGAGGAAAGTCCAAACACCTTTCCTCAGGTGAGAACTGTTCCCCAGCGACTACACGGTCGAGGTGCTGCCACCCTGCCTTCAAGATGTCACAGTCAGCTGTTAGAGAGCAAAATGGATTCTTTGGGGATTGAATCTTCTGGCCAGGTGAGACATGCTGCTGACATATAGGGCTTGCAAAGTATTTACTCAAGCAAAGGTCATACTAGGTAGAATTTGTTTTGACGACAAGAGATTGAGACAGATGACTTCAGCCCAGCAAAAGAAAAACCCTGTTCTTTGGTCAGTACGGTGATGTGTCAGACGCAGTGACAGCTTCAGGGCACGAGAAAGAAACAGAAGGAAGGAAGACACATGGACAGGAATGAACCTGAACTCATCATGCAGTGTAGCTAGCAGACTTTACTTGGTCATTGCCATCTTTAATAACAAATAACAAAACTAAATGCAAAAATTGAAATGATCAGTGAAAATGCTCCTTTTACATCCAGTCTGTTTCCTCAACTTTGCGGCTGACACAGCCACCCACTGTTCACAGAGGTGTCGTTAAGTCACCTCAGAAACACTTGTACACTACACTATGGAAAATTGTTTCTTAGCTGATCAGAACTGAAAATATTAGACCAATTTACAGTTGAGTCTAAAAACCATATCAATGTAAACATTCTTTAAACAGCGTAGCATAACAGTAAATGATTATAGTTGTTAGAGTGTATATTCTTAGTTCTTGTATTAAAAACATCCGTTCATTATTTTATCACACGTTCTGATCTTTTGATGTGGTCTTGGTCTGGATGCAGTCTATGCATAAAAAAAGTTTTCAGGGTTTATGGTCCATGTGTCTGTCTATCGTCTGACACCTGAGCTTGTTTTGAATCAGAAGTCTCTTTCCCTCCATTTTTTTCAGTCTGAAAACATTTGCACTTTCTTTTTTTCTCCACGTTTCTGTTTCCACTGTTGCATTTAACATTGTGTTCTTATATTCCCTTCTCATTGTATACAGCTAACTCTATTATCTTCTAGATAAATTGGTAATGAAAAAAATACTTTATTTATCCCAGAAGGGAAATTCAGTAAGGGAAATTCAACTAATGAAGCTGATCCTGGCAGAATAAGGCATTAAAGCTTTCTGAGCCTAATTTTATACCTGGAATTAAAGAGCATCAGAGAGCAGAAAAGAGCTGTTGTGTGCTGAATAGTCAGTAGTGTTGTGCATGCAAGGTTAGAGCGGGAGTTCTATTATGAAGACAGAAGAAGAACAAGAGTAGGAGTGACAGTGGCTCACATTCGTAATGAACTGCAAATAGTTGATAGGCATTTCTTTTTAAAACCATCTTTTAAATGCAGTAACTAAAATGTGATGCATTTAGTATGGTCCGGTTGTTGTTGACACACCAAACACATCTGAAATATCTAATGCCAACAATACAAAGAGTATTAAAAGCAGATCTGTGATATGATAACAATTCACCTGCTAGAAAAACTGCAAATTAAAGCACAACCACCGGACAGACAAAGCTAATCAAATGAGAACAGGTAGCCATACTGGGAATGTTGGGACATATCCAGTATAACCTGGCAGAAAGTCCCAGCATCTAGGATCTTACATGCCAGGAAACACGAGAAAAAGACTATAGCTGCTTCTGATCCATCACTTTAAATTCTGCTTAGTCATTTAGAATTCCTCCAGCCTGCATTTTGACACATGCAGCTTGTCAAATGTGTGATTTTTTTTGCTGTGTAGTCGATAATGGCTGCTTATATGCTCAACTGCTGACTGAGTGACTGTGAACGACGTGGTCACAGAAGTAAAGAGTTGGCACATATCAGTAAATTAGTAAATGAAGAATGTGGGTTTATTATGGTTTGTTACCAAAGTTTTGATATACAACACAACCATCCAATCACTGAGGTGGATGATGAGTATTATGTTAATGAGCCCACAAACCTATTTAACTCTGGACAGTAAATTACTTTCTGAGGGGAATAACGAACCCAATATGCTTAATAAGACACATTTCAAAAGACGTTTGAATCTCAACTCTGTGTGATATATTGTTTTATGTGTGTGTTGTGTGTGTGTTTTCTCTATTTCATAGCCTAGAGAGGGCTGCCACATCTGGAAGATGCATATGGTGAAGGGTCAGGAGGGCCTCGGCATCCAGATAACAGGGGGACGTGGTTCCAAGCGCTCTCCTCATGGCATCATTATAGCTCATGTAGAGGAGGGGGGTGCCATTCACAGGTACTGTTACTCCCCTGCAATTAGGAAACATGTGCTTGCTTCATGCATTTTTGTAGGTTTAGGCCGTAATCCATTAGCGCTGTCTGCACACCCCAGTGAATCTTTACAGTGCATGAGAGTATATTCTACAGTGTCATAATATGTGCATCTGATGAATTATCAGTTGATTAGAAGTTTGCTGTACAGTTGTTAATTTTCATATGCTTTTTTTCATAGGTTTATTTACCAAAAATGTGTTAAGCACCAGTACTATTAGAGTTTTGAGTACACACAATCCTAAGAAGACAGCCCCAACGTGCTGAACAGCATATGATTTAGTGTCCTTGTTTATAAGTGACAAAAGCAGCTGTTCAAATGCCGTCGTCTTTTAAATATCCTGACTCTCACATTTTCTGTATAAACTACCTTGATTTATGCCAATATAGAAAAATGAGCTTAGTATTAATTAAAAGGTCTGGGCTATTTTTCTCTCTTCTCTTTTTAAAAAAATCAATTTTCCGTCTTTTCTGTTAGTTTCTCTTTTTTGTATAACAGATATCTCAGAATGTGTTACCAAATTACAATATTGATATATTTTAATTAGTTTTCACTTAAACACATGTAACAGCAACGCATCTGAAATATGTATCACACATTGTATATTTTATTCCTAATCCCATCTCAGGTTAAAAATTTCAAGACATTGTCTTTTTAAAATTCTTTCTGAATGCTACGACTAGTCCTGATACGATAAGTGACAGCTCAGAATCTGAAATGGTTCAGCTGTAGTTGTCTGTGCGTATGTAACGTGTAATTAGGTCCTAAATGCATGTGTGTCTGTGTGTGTGTTTTAGGGATGGCCGACTTCATGCTGGTGATGAGTTGCTGATGATTAATGGTCACTCTCTGGTGGGTCTCACTCATCAGGAGGCTGTCACTGTCTTCCGCTCAACCACCGGTCTCGTCCAACTGGTGGTGGCCAGCAGGGTAAGTACAGACATAGAAGTGCTGATATAGGTAGGAGCAGGACTAATTTAGGTGCCATAAAGACACACACACGGGGGGCGGCTCCCAGCCGACTTAGGGCAAAGGCAGGGGACACCCTGGACAGGTCACCAGTCCATCGCAGGGCTACACTTAGAGACAGACAACTAAGCACACTCACATTCACACCTACGGACATTTTAGAATCACCAATTAACCTCAACATGTTTTTTGGACTCTGTGGGAGGAAGCCGGAGAACCTGGAGAGAACCCACGCTGCATGGGGAGAACATGCAAACTCCACACAGAAAGATTCCGGTGCCCCCACCGGGATGCGAACCGGCAACCTTCTGGAGAATATTATCAATCAAAAAAAACATTGTTGCATGTTACATGACTGTAGTGCTAAATGCAACAATTGATGCCCTCAGTGAAAATATAAAGGAAGCAGAGTGACCTCCTGACTTTATCCCATTTTTAGAAAGGTTGTTTTTATTCTCAGTTCCAAACCAGACATGTGTCTGTGGTGCAGACAAGACCAGCACTGGTTAGATGCATACTTTCCAACTGATGAAGCCATTGTCCAACTTTGTAAACAAAACTGAAAAAAGAATACAGGAAAATGAAAGGCCACATGGAATGTCAGACTTTATAGTGAACATCAGCACCAAAGATGGCTCTAAAATCTGTAGGTGGAACAGCAGTCAAGCAGAAATAGACTCTCTATTGACAAACACTTCACAACTCATCACTTTTTAAAAAAAGGGAAAACACTTATTCTAGACTCTGTTGCAGTTTCTCCAGCTACACTGTGCTGCAAACTGCATAAACATTTACTTTTTTCTATACTGTGGGAAGAAATTTGAGCTGAGAAAAGGACAGCAAAAGTTTCAGATAATGATAATTATGCAGCTAAAGTATTCTGTTCTGTTCTAAGGTGTTCCTGTTGGGAATGTCCAATATGGACCCCAGAGTTTTTCAAGTGACATGGACATAAATGAACTAACCTCTATTGTGTGTAATTCTATAACTTTCTGTGAGGAATCCTTTATTCCTACACGACAGATGAAAGTCTATCCAAACAACAAGCCATGGACAAACAAGTCTCTGAAGGAAATGATAAAGAGCAAACATGATTTATTTAAAAATCGCAGTAATGAGGAGTACAGAGAGGCAAAAAGGCTGCTTCGAGCAGAAATTAAAAAAGCTAAACTCAATCCATTTATTTTCCACCATATATTCAAGAGCTCCCTAGAGCAGCACTTGTACTATGGAAAAGATCAACAGTTGTGCCTGTGGCTAAAGTTAAATCCCCAAAGTCCATCAGTGATTACAAAAAAAAAAAAAAAAAAGAAAAAGGTTAGGACACATTGTTAAAGTTGCCAGTAAAATCATTGGTGTTATACTACCTGATCTACCTACAATCTTTTACAAGAGGGTACAACTCTAAGGCTCGGGATATCATTCAGTGCCCCAATCATCCCCTCCATGCTGAGTTTGAGCTCCTACCCTCTGGCGGGAGATTTGGACTACCAAAGGCTCGATCCAACAGGATGAAAAAATTCCTTCATAACACAAGCCATTGCTGTACTGAACTTAAATTTTGGAGGATGACTGTTGTTTTGCATTTGTTTTCTCTGCTGTTGTGTGCTGTCCATTTTGGTGTGGTGTCCGGGAGTGATCGACTGTGATTGTGTTTTTGTGCTTCTTGCCTGCCTCCAGAGCAAATTTCCCTCAGGAGACAATGTAGTTAAGTTAAGTTAGAAGCAAATGAGATGCACATAGAGAAAAATGACACACCAGTACACTTTTTTATTTATTTTTTTCTGTTTTTGCAGGAGGAGTCAGATGTGGGTTTCGACCGCTTCCCATCCACCAGTCTGCCAGACCTCGTCAGCACCTGCAGTTCCTCTTCTTCCCTGTCTCAAACAGCTACCCTGCACTCCCTCCAAACCTCCAACAGCAGCACGAGTCTACACAACACCTACCTGGTATACATAGATCTTATGTAGCATCTGTTTATAAATGAATCCTGCTCCTACCTATAGCAACAACCTGTGTCACAAAGCAGAATTATCGACCAAGTCAAAAGTGGTTACTTATTTAGACAAAGTTGGCAGGCTGCACATCTTTCTACCTAGTTGCTAATGTTGGATCCTCGTGAAGGATTTGGATCAGATGGGACGTATGATCCCTCCTGAGTGCTCTGTGTCTGCTCTGGCCTCCCACTTGAACATATCCCTACAGTCTCCATCTGGAGGTGTCAGGATGTATCCTAATCACACACCTGGACTCCAACAATAAAGAGCCCACACACCAAGGTCCATACAGATCAGTGTGTACCTGTGATGATGGTGGAGCATGGTCTGAGATAGGTTCATGCTATTGGAAGTAGAATGTAAAAAAATTAAATCTGTGTGTATCCTTATAGTTGACTAACCTGGAGAGACTAGAAGTGCAGAGTCAGGGAGAGGCACCCAGAGGATCCTGCTGCAGCCCCACACCTACGAAGCTGTGCAGCCGATCCCAAGGTTGGTGATCAATAGAAGCAGGTTGTTCATTTAAACCAAAATGATTGTAAGAGTGGAAGCATTACATCTGTTCCTTACATCATAAATTTTGCAGTGTAATCTATATACAGTGCATTTTCAATTGTATGGTAATTCAGTGTCTAGCACATTGTGTATTGGAATTTATACTTCCAGTTTTTTATGCAGAAGAATAAAATGACCCATTTTTGCGGCCCAGGGGGGAGTAATCGTCTGGAGTCAGTGGGTGAGGATGACGAGCTGTTTGTGGAGAATGGTGTGAGTGGCTGTGATGTGTTGGAGAAGCCTCTACCTGGCCGTCGTAAACACTCCTTACCTCAACAGCTCGATGCTGCTGGAATGAGACAGGTAAGTGAGTGCCCCACCTTCTTCTTTATGCAAGTGACGATGTACATACAGAGTATACATAGGACCATGTTTTGTTTTTTTTTGTTTTTTTTTATTTAAATAATTACAGATAAGTTTGGCTTCAATGTTCTTACCTTGACACTATGGAGAATGTGTTCAGGAGGAACCTTTCACAAATATACAAGGTGTGTCAGAAAAGTTCCAGGACTGGTATCACAAAAGATATATTTCAAACCCAAACTCCAAACTAGGAGAGTTCCCCCTCAGACGATCAACCAGCTCATCTAGAAAGAGAGCCTGTGGCGAGAAGAGGCGAGAGTTGCATGCAGGACATGTCGTGGCTGCTTCACCATGACAACGCGCCTGCCCTGAGCATCCAACAGTTCCTGGCTGAGAAGAACATCGTTGTGCTGGAGCAACCTCCCTACTCACCCCACCTGGCTCCGTGGGATTTATTCCTCTTCCCCAAGCTCCAGGGGTCATCAAGGGGACCCGTTTTGAAGACGTGGACGACATGAAGATGGCTGTGACGACGGAGCTGCAGAGGAGCCTGGAAGAATCCTTCCAGAAGTGCTTGGTGGCGTGGCAGAGAAGGCTGGGAAAGTGTGTTAGACTCCAAGGGGATTACTTGGAAGGGGAAAACTTGTAGTTTGTAGTTTGGATTTGAAATATGTCTTTTGTGACACCAGTCCTGGAGTCTTTCTGACTCACCTCGTAGATAGAGTATTGTCTTTTTCAACAAGGAATTAAACAGCTTGTTGAACAGATATCATAATAAATAAGCTAGTGTAGGTTCGTGTCCGTGTGTATGTGTGTGTGTGTGTGTGTGTGTGTGTGTGTGTGTTTCATGTTCAAAAAAATCACACACAACGTGCATGCACACAGAATTGTTGGAGCATCTCAAACATTAGTGCACTAAATATAAACTACATGAACAAATACACATGGAACATGTGTGGTGTGTACACACACACACACACACGAACACATACAGTAAGATCAGATCAAATGCTGGTCACTCATTCTGACAAGCTGTCCTGACAACAATAACAAGGCCATCTGCACAAATTGTTGTTTTAATTAGTGGGTAAACAGGAAAAGGAAATCAAATCAGATGTTACAGGCTAATATTCAGAATCACAGACTTGGACTGGGAGCGTGGGTGACACACAACAAAAAAAACTCTATAAACCAAAATCGAGCTGTCAAGTTACAGCTGCAGCATCAAACCTTGATGGGCGGCACTACAGGTGAAAAGCAGAGTTGTCACCCTCACTTGTGAGATAAAGCAAGTGTGCATTGGAATAAACAAGGACTTAATGAAGAAAGAGAGAGACTGTTTGAAGATGGAAAAGATTTTAAAAATTTGATTGAAGATCTTTTTTTTTTTCATATTTATCTTCCTTCTAGGAATATCAGATTATTAAGAAATCAGCACGCTCCCTGAGCACCATTCAAGTGGAGTCTCCATGGCGACTGGCGCAGCCATCCATTATCTCCAGTATAGTGCTGATGAAAGGCCAGGGCAAGGTGAGTGCACTTCTTTCACATGTATGCATGAATAAAGTTCAAAGAGTATGTGTATGTAATCTCACAATTACTAAACAGATGTGTCTGTCTGGTTTTAATGTATTCTGACATGATTTATAAATGTTTCTTTCTTTTGTGTTTTCTCTTTAATTACCTACTGGTGAAAGGCTTTTCTTACCAGTAGTAACAATGGAACTCGACCATTATACGTCTGTCAAAAAAGATTCATACTGTTGTGATTATGTGCATTATGTTAATATTCACTCTTTGACTAGCAGAATACCCTGGTGGCATAATTCTATACTTAAAATGCAGAATAGTATGGTACAACAGCCACAGCATTGCAGTAAGTTTATAATATTAGTTTAAACTAAGGCATCATCAGAAGATTATAGGGACTGTTCACCTGTGCATCTACAGAGACTGTACAGATAACTGTGAGGCAGAGGTTGATGCCTTTAATTTGGTGAAGATAGGATTAAAGATACACAAAGTGAAAAAAAATAGTGTGACCCTTTTCCTGTGATTTTACACAGGCAGTGTTGGCCAAAGTAGTATAGTGTCACCATTTATCTGGCTGTCATAATAAGAAAAAGCAGCACTAAACATTTGTTGTGAATCTCTAATCTGACTACTGCACTCACTGTAACACCAAACAATTAGAACACGTTGGAGAAATAGTGTAAAAAGGTAAAAATGAAACAGAGTCGATGACCTTCAGTCTACTCATAAATTTATTGTACACTACCCACAGCAAACCAAGCTGGGCTGGAGGTCAACTGAACTTGTCACAGAAACCGCTAACTTAAATAAGATTCCCTACACTAAATTACAATTTCCAACACATCACACAGCCAAAAACTTTAATCCTCTCCCAGCCTCCTGGACCAGTCACGCTGATTATTCAGCTGGACTGTCCAGACTTCTTGTCTGTTTTTGATCGCCTTTCCTTAGTTGTAGCAGAGTGGTGTTATATATTCTAAAGGCTTGACCAGAGACTAAGCTGAATTTGTATTATACATCATGTAGCAGAATGCTAAGAATGGTGTTTCATGTGTTCAATTTGACATTATGCTGATCTAGCTCCTCATGTTTGAAGCAGTTTATCTCGCTAGAAAAAACATCAACATGCCCACAAGTTCTTTTAGACTAAGGAGGTTGAGCTGTAATGGAGTAAACTGAGACACTTCATAACTTGACTGTAAAAGATATGGCCCTCACATGGCTCCATTGTCCAAAAGGAAGTGTCCTTCCACAGAATAAAGAAAATGTAGTAGCACCGACCATGTGCTGTACTGCCAAAACAAAAGTGAAACTAAAAGACCCCATATCGGGACCTTGTTTTTTTGTTTTTTTTCCCCAAATTTCTGAAAATTTCACGGCCTTAATATCCATTCATCCATCATCTATACACCGCTTAATCCTCACTAGGGTCGTGGGGGGCTGGAGCCTATCCCAGCTGACTTAGGGAGAAGGCAGGGGATACCTGGACAGGTAACCAGTCTATCACAGGGCTACACTTAGAGACAGACAACCAAGCACACTCACATTCACACCTACGGACAATTTAGAATCACCAATTAACCTCAGCATGCTGTGGGACTGTGTGAGGACACTGGAGAACCCAGAGAGAACCCATACTGCATGTGCCTTTCAATTTTCAGCTTAAAAATACTGCATAAATTGTTAATTTTGCTAGACCCATGTAAGCCCTGGTTTTAGCCCTGATCTAAATTGGCTGTTTCACTGTCTGTAGCTTTAAATACCGCTGAGCTGCTTCTGTCCCCACCTCATTGTAGAAGAAGACTCTGCATTGGCTCTGTTTAGTGATTGGCATCATATTTGACTGCATGGCATCTGACATAGATGAGAATAAGTGTAAGACTAAAGCCCAGTCCACACAGGTTAACCCGAACCTGGCCAATAGCAAGCATTTTCATATCTTAACTGCTTTTGTTTTACAGCTTCTGTTTATGAATCATACAACATCCAATAAAACTGATTTTCACCACATGGAAACTTTAACTCAGGAGTAAAACTGTACTTTCACTTGATGTCACTAGGTGGCACCAGTAGACCGAAGGATATGGAATAGCTTAATTTGATTCTCAGGACATGCAAACTCAGGCCGTGACACACATAGTCACAGTGTGATTAAACTGTAAGCGCTAACATTTCAGCAAGGCAACATGAAACGTGAGTTCTTAAATCTGGACCTCTTTGATATCCCTCCTCTCTTGTGTTCCTTCAAAGTGTAAAAAACAATAATCCTAACAGTCAGTAAACATTTGACAACTGTGTCTTTGCTAGTCATTTCTGACATTTACTGAGATGTAACTTTTGCAGGGTTTGGGATTCAGTATCGTTGGTGGGCAAGACTCAGCACGTGGTCAAATGGGGATTTTTGTCAAAACGATTTTCCCTCACGGAGCTGCAGCTGCTGATGGACGACTGAAAGAAGGTAACCATTCCTTTCCAGTCTGTGTTATGGAATTGATAGCGTGTACAAAAAAGTAAAATGAATAGCATTGACACTGGTTTATATTCACACGTTTTACGCTAGATGCCTTTCTCAGTCTGATTGTATGCTTTCCTGTGTAGGAGATGAGATTCTGGAGGTAAACGGAGAGTCTCTGCAAGGACTCACACACCAACAGGCTATCCAGACCTTCAAGGTAGACAATGGGTTTTGTCTAAATCCGTCAAGAATGTTAAAACAGTTCTAAATTTAACTAATGTTTGTGACAAGGTGTGTTTTTCCTTCAGACAGAACATCTTCAACGAATCTATCAAAGGGTTTTTTTTATGCTAACTGACTTGATCACATTTTCTGAGAATAGAACAAAGATGTGTTAAAAGGGCATTTTTTGTTCCTTTGGAAAAAAATAGTTTGTTTTTTGAATTTGTCTGAAGTTCAGACTAAAACTACAAGCTAAAACTATTTTCACCTCTGCCTGCTTAACATTGAACCTGATATACCTTTTTGAGCAGAGGAGGGGGGCTCTGTATTTACATGCATAACAACTGGTGCAACAACGGGACTGTGATAGACACACACTGTTCTCCTGACCTCGAGACATGTCTGTGAGATGTTGGCCTTTTTTTCTACCGAGAGAGTGAACAGTAGTGATCGTCACCCCATGCCAATGTAAAAACAGCGCTCTCCCTCCTGCTGAACACCTTTAACGCACATCAGCGGGCCCACCCGGATGGGGTCCACATAATTGCAGGAGACTTTAGTAAGGCCAACCTGAAGACTACGCCCGAAATTTTATCAACATGTAAAGTGTTCTACTAGGGGAGAGAACACTTTGGATCATGTTTATTCCAACATTAAGCACGGATACCGAGCCATACCCCTCCCCCACCTCGGCCAGTCAGACCACCTTTCCGTCCTGCTCTCCCCAGCCTACACCCCCCTCAGACGTAGTGCCAGGCCCACCACAAAGACTGTTACAACCTGGCCTGATAACGCACTCTCCAAACTACAGGACTGCTTCACTGAGACAGACTGGGACCTATTTGAACACCAGGAACTGGAAACGTTCACAGGAACGGTACTGGACTACATCAAGTCCTATATAGGTAATGTGACTGTGGACAAAAACATTCGGGTTTTTCCAAACCAGAAATCCTGGTTGACCAGCCAGATCCGCACACTCCTCAGAGCCCGAGATGCTGCCTTCAGGTCAGGGGACAGAGCCCTTTATAGGACTGCTCGAGCTGATCTGAAAAGAGGAGTGAAAAAAGCCAAGGCGGAACATAAGAAGAAGATAGAGTCCCATCTGTCCAGCAACAACACACGGGCGGTGTGGCAGGACATACACGACATCACAAACTACAGAGGCTGTGCCACAACAACAGGAGACCTGAGTGTGCCGCTGGCAGAGGAGCTGAACTGCTTCTTTGCTCGCTTTGAAACATCACAACAGCAACACTCACCAGCCTCTGCCCTGCCCCCACCCCCACCCAGTTCCTGTACCACCACACTCACTGTTAGTGAGCATGAAGTCAGACTCCGAACAGTGAACCCCAAGAAGGCTGCCGGCTCAGATGGAGTTCCGGGTAAGGTGCTCAGAGCGTGTGCCCACCAGCTCACCCTCATCTTCACCAGAATCTTCAACCTCTCCCTGGCCCAAGCAGTTATCCCGCCCTGTCTGAAATCCGCCACAATCATCCCGGTACCGAAGAAGTCTCCCATCACCAGCCTAAATGATTATCGTCCTGTGGCCCTCACTCCGGTAATCATGAAGTGCTTTGAGAGACTGGTCCTCCAGCACATCAAAGACTATCTCCCGCCGGACCTGGACCCCTACCAGTTTGCATATCGTGCAAACAGATCCACTGAGGACGCCATCGCCGTAGCTCTCCACTCTGCGCTGTCCCACCTGGAGCAGCAGCAGAGCTACGTCCGCATGCTCTTTGTGGATTACAGCTCGACATTCAATACAATCATCCCGAACATTCTCATCAGCAAACTGGACACTCTCGGCCTCCCCCCTCTCACATGTGCCTGGATAAATGACTTCCTCACCGACCGGCCCCAGACTGTGAGACTCGGCCCCCACCTCTCCTCCACCTGGACGCTGAGCACCGGCTCCCCACAGGGCTGCGTGCTGAGCCCCCTCCTGTACTGTCTCTACACCTACGACTGCCGTCCGGCCCACAGCAGCAATCTCATCGTGAAATTCGCTGACGACACCACAGTGGTCGGACTCATCTCAGGGGGAGATGAGACAGCCTACAGAGAGGAGGTCCTGAAGTTGGCAGCCTGGTGTTCAGAAAACAACCTGACTCTGAAAACCAAGGAGATCATTGTCAACTTCAGGAGGCTCAGCACTGATCTAGCCCCCCTCTACATCAACGGTGAGTGTGTGGAGAGGGTCTACACCTTCCGGTTCCTTGGCGTCCTCATCTCCTCTGACATCTCCTGGACAGACAACACCACGGCAATAATCAAGAAGGCGCAGCAGCGGCTTCACCTCCTGAGGGTCCTCAAGAAGCACAAACTGACCCCACCCTGCTGCTGACCTTCTATGGCTCGTCCATTGAGAGCCTACTGACCTACTGTATCACAGTGTGGTACGGCAGCTGCACCATGGCAGACAGGGAGAGGCTTCAGAGAGTTGTAAAGGCAGCCCAGAAGATCATCGGCTGCCCTCTCCCCTCCCTGATGGACATCTACACCTCCCGCTGCCTCAGTAGAGCAAAAAAATATCATCAAGGACAACTCCCACCCTGGTTCTGTCATGTTGGACCTGCTGCCCTCAGGGAGGCGCTACAGGTGCATCAGAACCAAAACAAACAGACTCAAGAACAGCTTCTTCCCAAAAGCCATCACCACCCTGAACTCCCCCCCCCCGTGTACCTCACAACCACCAACTGTGAACTGTATTTAAATGTGCAATATCACCACTGACCATGCTTTGCAATATTTTTCTAAAATTTATACTGTATGTATAACTTATGCTGTATATATAACTTATTTTATTTTATATTGAAATCTCTTCTATTTTATTTTTTGCTCTTTATTTTGTTCTTTATTCTATGTTGCACTGAAGGAGCTGCTCATAATCTCATTGTACATGTGTATAGTGACAATAAAAGCATTCTATTCTATTCTATTCTATTCTATTCTATTCTATTCTATTCTATTCTATCAAACAGCAACTGAAAAAGGGTGTGGTGACCCTGACAATTCGAACTCGTCTGCGCAGCCCCAGCTTGACACCATGTCCCACCCCCACCCTCCTCAGCCGCTCCAGCTCGCCTAACTCCCACACCAGTGGGGGTACATCTGCTCTATCGGGGTTTGAAGAGGCTGAAGGCCGCAGGGGCCCTGGTCCAGGTCCAAAAGACTGCATCATCATGGAGGTCACACTTAATAAAGGTTGGCAAACTTGATGGAGAACCCAGAGAGACATTCAGATACCATTTCTTGATTTTATATTCACTTCCTGTGTGGAAGTGTCCTGTTGTCTATTTTGTGGTGTGTTTTAATGAAAACTGTCTTGATAAGTGTGTGGGGGGGACAAGGACAGTTTGTTTTCGTACTTTCATGTAGAGTGTCCTTATCTGCTTTTTAGTGGTAGAAAAATTTCACCTCATGAATGACAGAGCATAGTTGTGCCAGCTGTCATACTTTAGAGGGAGGTCTTACGTTGTTTCTACAATTATGGCTAACTTCCCCTTTAGGAGCATTCTGATTTTGATTGTTGATTGTTTTAGAGCCGGCTGTTGGTCTGGGAATTGGAGTTTGCTGTCTGACACTGGAGAACTCTGCTCCTGGCATCTACATCCATAGTTTGGCCTTGGGATCTGTGGCCAAGATGGATGGAAGGCTCAGGTAAAATGTTTAGAGTCATTCTGAATTGCAAACTGGTGGACAAAAGTTAATATGAAGTTACACTGACACAAAGATGAACAAGGTGATATTTCGTTTACTGGAAAGTGTATTCATGACTAACTTAGTGGACAGACAATTTTGACATCCATGCTCATCAATGCTGAGACTGCTTTGACAATGTTGTGCTGCCACCTGTGCCTTTCTGTGTAGTCGAGGAGATCAGATATTGGAAGTAGACTCAGTCAGTCTTCGTCATGCTGCTCTCAGTGAGGCCTATGCCATCCTCAGTGAATGTGGCCCAGGGCCAGTCAGTCTCATCATAAGCCGGCATCCTAACCCTAAGGTAAGTCTGTTTTTAAAGACTGGTTGTCTTTTAAGATGTTCAGTATTTATCTCATACTATGTAGCAATCCTGTAATCAATAAAACTGCCTTAACTCTGCACAGTCCCAGGGCGTTTTGCCCAGATCAGCTGAGAGATGACAAACAGCAACGAAGCTTGTAGTGGAAATAGGCTGTAATGGTACAATGGGAAAAGCAAAGGACTGTACCTCAGGAGAGTGGCAGTTGAATTTTTGTGCAAATAAAGTGCATACATATGTCTGTACCCCTCTGGTGGGATGGGCACTGGACAGAGCTGCAGAAGCTTTGGAAGGCTGATTTTGCTTTTTATTTATTTTTTTCCGGCTTCAGCTTTTAGGAATTACAGTAATGTCTTCACTTCTCTACTTTTAATTAATTGGACAGTTGACTGATAATAAGTTTTATATCCAGTTGATTTCATGACAACCTAAAGAGAAGTGTTGAATTTGCATTTGGTAGCTGTTCAGAGGAATTGTCAATACACGGGCCAAAAAGTCCAAAGCAATCATTTGGTAAATTTTTAAAAGCAGGAATACGTTGTTGAGCTCAGCAACATAAAAATGCCTACAAGGGCATAAAAAAGCAATAAATTGGATGATTGCAGAATTCTTTCCATGGTGAAGAACAACCTTTCACTACATCTAGCCAAGTCAAGAACACTCCCAAGGAGGTTGGCATATCACTGTCAAGGTCTAAAATCAAGAGATGCCTTCGTGAGTGTAAGTGCAATGGGTTTTCCCCACGATGCAAAACACTGGTAACGCTCAATAACTGATTAGACTTGGTCAGAAAGCATTATAAAAAAAGCCAGTCCAGTTCTGGAGGAACATTCTTGGACAAATGAAACCAAGAAAAACTAATGCTGAAAAACTAATGGAAAAGAGGTTCAAAGTACAGATGTATGATGACCCAAAGCATTCTGCAAATGAAATCCAAGAGCTTAAGAAAGGCAAATAAATGGAATGCATTTACATGTCATCTGGCCTAAACCCAGCTGAGCTGCTTTTCACTTACTGAAGATGACACTGAGTTTCATGTCTGACATTGACAGAGTATTTTTAATCAATACTTAAACACTTATTAGACTAGATAAAGCGAGGCCTGGAGAAGTCTGACTGCTTTTGGGAACAAGCTACCTTTGGACTTCTAAGAAAGCATCTCATAATCGCAATTGCAACAATAATATTATTTATTTATAGAGTAAAGTCAAAATCAAGTTACAAAGTACGTCACAAAGCAGCAATATAAAACAGTCAAGTTCTGCGATTTCAGACTGTCTGTGAACGCTTTCTATAGCTGCGCATTTATAATTTTCCAAAATGATTTGGCGACCCCCAGAAATAATCTCGCAACCCCAGTTGGGGTCGGGACCCCAAGGTTGAGAATGGCTGCTCTATGTAACCAATCAGAAAGAGCTGTATGCGGGACATTGCTGTCATTGCCATAAGTGATTACAGAGAAAGCCGGCTGCATCAGAGCCAGGCTGATGATCAGCGTATCTCTAGTCTTCATCACATGAAATACTTTGTTCAAATTCTGGCTATGTCTAATGGTACCTGATTATACTGTCAGGCCTAGAAGACGTGGTGAAAATTATTTTCTCCATCTGGTTCCTACTTACAACGTATCCCAAACCAGCAAATCCTACAAAATGGGGATAGTGTATCATTTCTACTACTGCACTTTGTTTGGCAATACTTGACAAAAAACTAAACTATGCATTACAATAATTATGAAGGAAAAAGACTTTGTGTAATTTGACTATTTACAAGTTCCTTTTTCTAATTCAATATTTACATAACATACCTTCCTCACTGTTTTTATTTGTGGTCGTGGCAATAGTGGTGCTGCTCCAACATTCACAGGTTCAGTAATACAATAAAACTTGTGTGTTTCTTTGTCTTGTCTCAGGTATCAGAACAGGAGATGGATCACATTATAACTCGATCCACACACAGAGACAAAATGTGCAGGAACAGACATTCATCTCTTTCCCAAGGTTTGCTCTTTAACTACATTAAGTTTTACTTCATTTTTCTTTTTAAAAAAAATAAAATAAAAACATCTGTTATTATTATTTTGTTTACTCGTGCACTGCAGTCATTTTCAGATCCGGTTATTGTTTTCCATTATATAAAATGGAAAACAATAACAGGATCTGAAAATGTTGTGCAGTATGGAATTGGTGCATGGGCCAGTAGTTGTCACTTTGTTCAGCTGAAAGCTGCTACATGCATACATACTCTTTAAAGACTGCATCAATTTGTCAAGCTGAATACACAAAAACAATGCCTCCTCTGGCAGGTGATGTTATGTCCAAACTCTCTCATATTTTATCTGGAGAATATCAGCTTTTGCCAGCAAACAGGATTCAATTACACAGGGCAGACTGAATAAACTCTTCATATTTTGTTTTATTTTTTAGGACTGATTCAGTTGATGCACTGCAGCTTATTTGTAATGCATAATGCAATCTGTGTTGTTGTCGTGTTTGTTAGTGTTTTTGATTGTTGTGTTTTTGTTATTAATGTGAAACAGTGAACATCATGGGGGACACAACACCAATATCAGAGAAACATTCACAGGTTAACTCCTGTAAACTCAGGTCATTTTGCAGATGTTGTAAAACAATAGTTCTATTAACGACTGGTTGAGTTCTCAGCTGCCCAAGAAAAGTTTTCTTATGCTCTGGTTGTCTGTCTCCTCTGGGTTTACCTGCCATGGTTGTACCCTGTAGGTTTGTCTTGTAAGAGCTCCCACGCAACAGCGAGGGAAAGACAAGGAGACAGCTCCCATGCTCTCAGCTGGACCATGAAGAGGTTCCTTGAGCCTGCCAGTAGAGTAAGTATTCATTCAATATTTATGTTTTCCTTCTTAGTTTTACAGACACGTAGCTGGGGTCTGTTCTTTTTAACTGGTTGCCTGGTACTCTCTCAGCAGTCGATGGCTTCTGATGTATAGGACAGACAGTGTGTTCACCTGCTGTTCACACCATATCTATTTGAAATCAAAGACAATAAACTTTTATCAAACATCTGCATTTTTTCATCCATATTGACATCTTTACAGTCTTCTTCTTTCTTGATCAAATGCTGCTGGTCATTAACACAAAGCAAGCCTGATAGAAATACACTGTTTTATCTGATAGCCGTGAGCTGTATGAATTTTTTTCTGCTTAGTAGTGTATTTTGAGTTCAACTATTTATTTTTGCTTGCTAAAATTGTACTTTAAAAAGTGTGTGATTATAGTTGTAATCTTTCTTTCACTTGTGATCTTTGGTGCATTTTGTTTATTTTTAAGCAGGGCTCCCTGAGTTCAGAGACAGAGTTATCACAGTACTTTTCCCAGGACTTTTCCAGCCACTCATTCCTGTCTGAATCCACTCTGATGAACTCAAATAGTGAAGAAGGGCTCCACCAGCAGAGCTACACTACAGTAATGGATGGGATTTCATCACAACCACATGGTAAAATTTCACTCATTTCAACAAAGTGGAGAAGTTTTAGGACACATTCTGAAGGCAAGGAATAAACTCAGCTCAAGAGGAGGGCTGTAACTAAACACCTCATTGATTAGTCAATGCTTTGTTTTGTCAGTGAAATGTCAAAAGTTTTGGTGATGGTATGGTATGATGCTATGGTGATGGCGGCGCGCATGGACGCAGCGGCCCCTTCAGGAGAGAGTAAGAGTGAATGTTTTGAGTGTCTTGGCTATCCGCAGACATTCATTCTGCAAAACTTACAGCAGAGAGACTTTGCTGAACATCAGGACAATAAACGGCGCTAAAATTGTGCCGATCGGTTGTGATTTGGCCATGCTACACCAACGCAGAGTCCTATCGGAGACTACACCGGCAGTTACCAAAGAGAGAAGGAAGTGCAGATGGTACAAACGTAAACAAAGGAGGAGGAAGAGAGCCGGGATCCATGCTAGGTAAAAATTAACCCCTCCAGACCAGCAGGACCGTTGCTCCTACTCTCCAATGTCCGCTCCCTCAACAACAAGCTGGATGAGCCACGTTTGCTGAGAGAAACCCGCAGAAAGTGGAGGGACTGCTGTGTGTTTGCTTTAACAGACATATGGCTCCATGACAATATCCCAGATGGCCATACAGCTGGAGGGGACAACATTATTCAGGGCGGACAGACAGGCAGATAGCTCTGGTAAAAGCCAAGGCGGGGAGCTGTGCATCTATATTTACAAAGACTGGTGTGTAAATGCCACGTTAACACTGCTCTCAGTTGGCAGAGTTTCTTATTGTGAAATGCCGGCCATTCTACCATTGTTTACATAGCTCCAAGCACTAATGCTAACAAGGCACTAGGGGGGCTACACGACGCCATCAGTGAACTTTTAACTAAACACCCAGACAGCTTTATAGTGGTTGCAGGGGATTTTAACCACATCAGTTTAAAGTCTGCCCTCCCAAGTAATGTTAGTTGAGAGAAAAGCCAACCCAGTCTCATGGCAATTCACAAAATAGTCACAAAACTTAATCTTTTGTTTCATGTCCTGGGACACGATTTGCCCAACTTTTTCGGAGGAGGCTTGGGGTGGGAGACAGAACTGCTCTTTACTCAACCAGATCTGAGCTCTCAAAAGGGATCAAGGCTGCGAAACGCACCTATGCAGAGAAAATCCAGGAACACCTCTGTGACACAGGAAACACCAGATAGATGTGGCAGGGAGTCCAGGCACTGACGGACTACAAGACCAGGCAGGGGGTCGATGACGATGATGCTTCTCTTCCAGAGAGGCTCAACAACTTCTTTGCACGCTTTGAAGCATCGAACCCTACAATCAGAGAGGGCTGATCCTTCTCCTTCATCTCTCAGGCCAGCTTTCACCATCAACACAGCAGACACACGGAGGAGCGTCGCCAGCGTCAACCTCCGAAAAGTGACAGGACCGGACAACATCTCGAGACATGTGCTCAGAGTCTTCACTGATGAGCTGGCAGATTTGCTGACTGACATTTTCAACATCTCCCTCAGTCAGGCCATTGTCCCCAGATGCTTTAAAATATCCACCATAGTTCCAATGGCAAAGAAATCAGCTGTAGCCTGTCTGAATGACTATCACCCCATTGCACTGACAAGATTGTGATGAAGTGTTTTGAACAACTCGTCAAACCACACATCACAGTCAGCCTTCCTGCATCACTTGACCTGCTTCAGTTCGCTTACCGTCCCAACCGCTCCACAGAGGATGCAATATCCACCACCTTGCAGTCAGTCATCACCCACCTGGAAAATAAGGACACCTATGCCAGAATCCTGTACGTTGATTTCAGCTCAGCGTTTAATACTATCATCCCCCAGAGACTAATACAGAAACTCCTCCAACTTGGCCTGGATACCACCACATGTCTCTGGGTCCTGGACTTTCTGACCGAAAGAAAGGACATGTCCAACTCCATCACGCTGAACACTGGATCGCCTCAAGGCTGTGTACTCAGTCCACTGTTGTTTACACAAAATTGTTGGTACCCCTCAATTAATGAAAGAAAATGCAACAATGGTCACAGAAATAACTTGAATCTGACAAAAGTAATAATAAATAAAATTCTATGAAAATTAAGCAATGAAAATCAGACATTGCTTTTGAACCGTGGTTCAACAGAATTATTTTTAAAAAATAAACTCATGAAACAGGCCTGGACAAAAATGATGGTACCCCTAGAAAAGACAGAAAATAATGTGACCAGAGGGACATGTTCAATCAAGGTGTGTCCTCTAATTAGCATCACAGGTATCTACAAACTTGTAGTCAGTCAGTCGACCTATTTATAGGGTTACAAGTAATCACTGTACTGTTTGGTGACATGGTGTGTACCACACTAAACATGGACCAGAGGGAGCAAAGGAGAGAGTTGTCTCAGGAGATTAGAAAGAAAATTATGGACAAGTATGTTAAAGGTAAAGGCTATAAGACCATCTCCAAGCAGCTTGATGTTCCTGTGTTGCACATGTTATTCAAAAATTTAAAATCCATAGGACTGTAGCCAACCTCCCTGGACGTGGCCGCAGCAGGAAAATTGATGACAAATCGAAGAGACGGATAATACGAATGGTAACAAAGGAGCCCGAACAACCTCTAAAGACATTAAAGGTGAACTCCAAGGTCAAGGTGCATCAGTGTCAGATCGCACCATCCGTCGTTGTTTGAGCCAAAGTGGACTTTATTGGAGACGACCAAGGAGGACGCCATTGTTGAAAACAAATCATAAAAAGCCAGACTGGAATTTGCCAAATTGCATGTTGAAAAGCCACAAAGCTTCTGGGAGAATGTCCTATGGACAGACAAGACAAAACTGGAACTTATTGGAAAGGCACATCAGCTCTATGTTCACAGATGCAAAAATGAAGCAAGAAAAGAACACTGTCCCTACTGTGGAACATGGAGGAGGCTCTGTTATGTTCTGGGGCTGCTCTGCCGCATCTGGCCCAGGGTGTCTTGAATCTGTGCAGGGTACAATGAAACCTCAAGACTATCAAGGTATTCTAGAGAGAAATGTGCTGCTCAGTGTCAGAAAGCTTGGTCTCAGTTGCAGGTCATGGGTCTTGCAACAGGATAATGACCCAAAACACACACTGGACTATTCTGAAGTGGGCTCTGATCTAAATCCTATTGAACATCTGTGGAAGGAGCTGAAACATGCCGTCTGGAGAAGGCACCCTTCAAACCTGAGACAACTGGAGCCGTCTGCTCATGAGGAGTGGGCCACAATACCTGCTACTACAAGTCTCATTGACACTTACAGAAATCGTTTGATTGCCATGATTGCCTTAAAAGGTTGTGCAACAAACTATGAAGTTAAGGGTACCATCATTTTTGTCCAGGCCTGTTTCATGAGTTTATTTTTTTAAGTAATATTGTTAAACCACGGTTCAAAAGCAATGTCTGATTTTCATTGGTTAATTTTTATAGAATTTTTATTTATTGTTACTTTTGTCAGATTCAAGTTACTTCTGTGACCATTGTGGGATTTTCTTTCATTAACCGAGGGGTACCAACTATTTTGTCCACGTGTGTAACACACGACTGTGCAGCCAGACATGAGGGGATCCAGATCATCAAGTTTGCTGATGATACCACAGTAGTGGGACTTACTCGCAGGAACAAAGAATCAATGAACAGAGAAGAAGTGAAACACAGAGAGGGCTGGTACAGCAAGAACAACCTGCTGCTCAACGTGGAAAAAACAAAGGAGATGATCATCGACTTCCAGAGGTCACGTACTGAGCATGCTCCCCTCAGCATCAGCAGCTGCACAGTGGAGAGAGTGGAGAACATAAAGTTCCTCGGAGTGCAGATCTCGCAGGACCTGAGCTGAAATAAGAACACCGCAGCAATCATCAAACCGTCCCAGCAGAGACTGCATTTCCTGAGGAAGCAAAACAAGCCTCTCTCCCTGCCAGCATCCTCAGGACTTTTTACAGAGGTGTGGTGGAGAGCGTTCTGACATACTGCATCTCAACATGGTAATCCAGCTGCAGTCTGCGAGACAGAGGATAGTTAGAGGAGCTGAGAGGATCATAGGAGTTTCCCTCACCTCTGTCCAAGAACTTTTCCAGAGCTGCTGCAGGAGCAGGGCACTGAACATCGTCAGGGACTCCTCACACCCTCTCCATAAACTGTTTGAACTGCTGCCATCAGGCAAATGTTTCCGGAGCATTAAAGGAAGAACCTCCATAATGATCTACAGCTTCATTCCACAAGCTGTCAGAATGCTGAACTGCTGATCTAGATATGCGAACACTTCTTTAAAATTGCTTTAAGTTATTGGATCCTGATGAAGAGCTCTCTCATCTTGCCTCTACTACTGTGTATGTATAGCAAAATGACAATAAACTTGATTTGAGTTGAAAAGTAGTGTTTACACCCAGCAAGCTATCCAGAGTCTAAAGGAGACATCCTCAAATTACTTGATTCGTCTCTCTAATCAGTCCAAGCCTTTAAGATATTTCACACACTATTATACTGTGTTTCACTGAGAAAAACAGCTCAAAACAGGGAAGCTCAAACATGCAGATGTTTGACATTTTTGCAGAGTGACTGATTTCCAGAGAAAGAAAAGCTTTCTTTGATCGACAGTAAAGTGACTTTGAAACCAGATTAACAGTAAATTACATTCTGAGATGTAGAGTTTGACAATCTACTGTAGAATTACCTCAATAAAAATCCTGGTGAAATATTTGTGTAGCTCCAGGAAAAAGGTTGGGCCTGGATTCAGCTTTCAAAGAGACACGTTTATGTGTCTGTGTCTAAACCCATGTACTGGACTGATTCCAATGACAACTAAAAGAAACACCAGCATCACAGGAGCAAGCTGATAAGGACAGCCCATTGACTAATTTAACACATTATTAACATTTCTGTTGTGAAAGGAAAGAGGTTTGTCCAGATGAAAGTAATTTATATCACACAATGGAATGGTTTGTGTATTTTCATTTCATGCTACTCATCATGATAGTCAGACTGTGATTTACTAAATTCAATGGCCACCTTTTCATGATTTGTTTTTTTACACTGCTGACTCCAGTTTACCATATGTGAAAGGTCTGTACCAAAGTAAAACTTTCAAGATACTGTAAAATTGATAGAAATATATTAAATGACTGTAGTCAGCCATGAAATAATGGTCATCTCCTGCTATTTAGCATTCATACTTTTTTCAGTGATTGTGTGGCTGGAACATGCAATTTTTTTCCATATATCATAAGACAGATGGTTGTCCACATGGCTTAGAGCATTTTTAGAATATCTCCAATGCTCTGAATCATTCATCAGTGTTTTAGACCACCACACAATGTAAATTTTATGTCACAGTTGCTCTAAATTAACAGCATTGGTAATTATCAAGATGTTTTTTATTTTTCTGTAATGGTAAATACACCAGTGTGTAGAAGCTATCTATCTATCTATACAATTATTATTGTCATCCATGAATTTTCAAATTTGTTATTTTAAAAAAAACTGAAAAAATAGTAACACATTATTATTTTTTTGATTCAGATGTCAAATTAGGGTTATTTACTTGCATTCCTGAACAGAAAAATTAGTTTTAGTGGTTGAATGGTCTGCTTGATTAATTTCTGACTTCCCAGAGATGCCCAGTGAGTCAGCTCGGATTTGGGTATAAAAAGGTGAATTCAGTTTGAAATTCCTCATTCCTGTTCAAAATGGTAAAACGTGGAGAGATGAGTGTGAATTAAAGCACTTCGTGATTCTGGATGATATATATATATATATATATATAAAAGATGACTCTAGACAAGATGATTTAAAAAAAAAAAAATATATATATATATACACACACACACATACACAGTCATATATGTATATATGATATTTCAAAGAGCCAGTTTTAAGGCAGAATTACAATGACAGCCTACTCTTGATTTAATTTGGACCAAGTCTAATGTAGAAAGTGGCAGTACAAGAGACACCATGTCATTGTCTGTTAATTTAGCCATAAATATGACTCAACATTTCTGTTATCATATTTACATCGTATGTGATTATCTGCATCTCATTCTCATCAGGCAACCCCTCTCTGACAGACCTGGAGAGCAGCCCTGTGTGCAACACATCACAAGAAAAAGCCCCTGTCCCTCAGAATAACCATACTGAGGCAGTTTGCCAGCCAACTACCGTCTCTTGCCCTGGCTCAGTGCGGAGCCCACTTCTCCGTCAGCGGCGGATGATGTGCTTTGAGGATGAACTTGGTGATGATGAAGACTCAGACAATGCTGGAAACACAGGGATTTTACACAGGCCAACAAAATCCTTTGACTTCACTTTTGCATCCAAAATTTCCAAAAATGATTCAGCAGCCATGATTGCTACATCATCATTAGATGCAGACAGTGAGGATGGTGGAGATTTGCCAAGGTGTGGAAGTAATGATATGACACCACTCCACAGTAGTTTCCCACAAAGTGAGGAAGGTAATGACAATAAATTCGAGTCACCTGGTTCTGAGTCACCCTTCAGCCTCTTTGACAACAAGGCAGGGGTTGCAAGCACGATGGACTGTGCACGTAATCTGACTATCCATAGTGAGAACTATCAAGATGATGGACAGTTGGAGTCAAAGCGCTCCCCCAAGCTTGAACATAAAGCAGTGACACGGGTCAAAAGCATGATGAGCACTGAAGCATTAAACATGCCTCAGCAGCCAAAGTCCAAAGCTGATGAACATTCTCCAGGTTTGGCCCCACCCCAGCTACCATCATTTGCTACACCATGTGGAAAAAACCCCAGGACTGCTGCAGGGTTAATACCCAATCAGCTCTGTAAGAAGGGAGATGCCAGTGAGCTTGTGGGTATTTGTACCATTGACACAGTGACCCTGACAAGACATGAAGACGAGTCATTTGGGCTTGACCTGGAGATAATGTCATCCCCTCTAAAAGTTGTCATTGCTGGGTTAAAGCCTGGAGGTGCTGCAGAAAGGGTATGTTTAAATGGTTACACCCTCATATTTTTCAGACCTCATGCCAAATCTCTCATTTGAATTGTTTAAGGAATAAAAAAAATCTTTGACTTTAAATGATGTTAGAGACTGGAGCATAGTAAAAAGCTGAATTTGTGTTATTGTACTTGCAGGAAAAGGGCAAATTGTGTCCTGGAGATGATATTGTCAAAATTGGAGAAAAACTAGTATGCTCCTCAAGCTACCAAGAAATTTGTGAGCTCATGCACAATCTTCCAGTGACGTTGTCATTGGAAGTAAAGAGACCAGTTTCAGGTAAGTCTTTCATTTTCGGTCTCTTTATTCTGGAGTTATTAGCTTATACAACAACAGTGTGGGAGCAACTGTTGTGTGTTTAATTTGGTACTTTACATGTAAGCCTTTGAAGTAGAAATGTGATGTGGTCCTTTTTTGGAGTTTATCTTGCAACCCTGGTGTTTACGACAGTGTCTTTGCCTTTAAAATGCTGACAACTAACAACATGACTGTGTCAAAATATTCATTTTAATGACACCATTGCTCTGCTGTATCATAGGTCCTGCATGGGCTCTGATGCAGAGACAACCCCCAAAAAAAATATCATTAAAGTTTTAAAAAATGTTTTTAAAATGCTATGCTTTAGTCTGCACTTGCACTCAACATCTCCATTAGAGAGATTTGGAGAAGTGAGGTTCACATTAACATGTACAGTCGTGACTCGATGACCCTTAACAATCCGAAAACCTTGCTATCCGACAGGTTGTTAGGAAAAACGAACGGAACCCATAGAAAATAGCCTTAACATACAGCCTTGGATTCCAACTCCAACATGACATTTTATGTCACAAAAAAGGATAACGGCATATTATCTGACTTAACAATCTGACAGACTGGCTACGTTCAGACTGTGGGACTGTTCAATTCGTATATTATTTGAAATCCAATTTTTTGCGAGTTCGTTCACATTTTCAATTACATGCGACTTGTATGTGATACAAAAGTGTCCCACATGCGCAGAAGAGGACACAGCGAGCGTGCTCAGTGTTAACGGAAGTAAACACGGATGCTAACAGTGGAGCGTATTCGCCATTCCCCTGCCGCCACCGCCACTGATGGTGGAAACAGAACTGTGACCGCTATTCTAAACTGGCATCAGCAGCCAGGTACTGCCTGTGCATTCCGGCCACTTCCAACCCGTCGGAGCGCACCCCCGGGGTGGAAGTGGCCGGAACGTGCACATGCGCACTGGTCAATTAGGTGTGAAATCCAACAATGCGAAGTGTTCTAACAATACGCTAGTTATTATAAAAACTATAAACAATAAATATTAACAATAAATTATACTTCAAGCATCAAGCCCTCCTTGTATGTTGACCTCCGTCTTGACAACAGCCTTGCTCTCCGACATAAAAGAAGGTTTTACAGTTCGTGTCGGATTATCGAGTCACGACTGTCTTAGGGTCAAAATACATGAGCCTCTTACGGCTTTCCAGATAACAATGACTTCAATAATTCTTTTAAATCCTTTATGTCTCCATCAGACCAAAGTAAACACAGCAAGTCACCTCCAGCAAATACCCACATTGCTAGTTAATCCTGGGATTCGGGGGGACTTTGCAGCTATTTCACTCAGCTACCATTGTAATGTCAGGTCGCAGTGGGTTAAGAAAATACATATAATAACTTGCTTGTGTGCATTGCTATGGAGTCACAGAGAATAATGCCTCTAATACAAAATTATTATTATTATTTTGCATGCGGAATTTGCTTTTCTTACCCTGTTGAGTGCTGCCTGTTTGCTCCACTTGGCCTCTCTTTTCCTCCAGCTGACTTAAGGATAGATAGATAG